GACAACAAACCTTGTCATATTATGACAAGAGTTACAACAGTGTCCCGATAAAAAAATAGATGGTTCCTACCTCTCTTAACCCGCATGTCATCCCCAATTGACAATAGTAACACTATTGCCAATTGGCGTCTTGGACATGGGGGTCTAGGAAGGGTTGGAGAAATAAGAATTATCAATTTTTTGATTGGAAAACCGTAACCCTAAAGAACACTGGTCATTCGCTAAAATTTAGACCAAGAACCAATAGAGAGACCCAACTGTAAAATGGAAGAAAGATTGGGAATTCAAGTGGCGCATGGGTGACATGAAAGATCAAAATCACACATTAATCTTGGGAGAAGGGGTCCTCAAGTTTGGGCATACAAAGCTTTAGTAAGGGCATTGTCAAAACTCAGCAAATACAAAATTGAATGTGACATTTTGCAAGAACTAACCAAACCAAATTCTTCCAGAACATTGAACTTATGGACAATAATCTATTTCTTCATCAAACCTAGATACAACATAAGTGCCACAATTGTCAAGAAACTGAAAATAATTCCACCCAATAATATGGTATCAATAGGACCACCCCAAACAACTGCATGAACAGTACGGCGCGCTTGAACTGTTTTACTATCTGTCGTCTCCAAACGGCCCTTAGTCTTCCTTCGTAACCAGCCAGCATGGTTAACTCTTTGGTGATCCGCTTGTCTCGGGTCATCCTTTGAAACAATAACTTCGGTGTTGTCTGGCGAGGCACAACATGTGACATCCGAAGAACAAGCACTCGCCTCTGGCTGTTTGGAGCATGCACAGTTTTCAGCTGAGCTGGCACAAGAGGGTCCTTCACAATCGCTTTTGGGTATGCCGATGTTGTTTGGTTTAAGGACCTCGATGACTTCCCCAAAAACCGACCATCTGGTTACTGATGTTATCTTTACAATGGCTGAGGATCCCCGCATGCTCTCAGAACCAACCACTAGCACCTGAATGTACCCCTTTGTGTGGCCCACCTAGATAGATAGACGCAGAAAGTTTAAACTCTATTGACAAAGTACAAACATTGCTGTAGAAAGAACTCTATAGTTATGCACTAAAAGTGGGAAGAAGAAAAAACGGAAAGGGATCAACGTGGGAATGACCAAATAAGGCTAATAATCATAGGATCGAGTGGAAAATTCTCTTCAAATAAGCATACAACCAAGAGAATTCATAACCTATACAATTATAGCAATCAGTGTTCTAAAAAGCAATAGTCGGACTCTACGTGGTCAAAGGATGCCTCACGTCTAGGCGTGGCCTAGCCAAAGGGCCAGGTGAGGACTTTTAGAGAAATGATTGCAATTCTCTGTTTTATTGCCATATTCTGATATTTGCAGTTGAAATGTGAAATTAAAACATCAAAGAAAAAGAAACAATAAGACACTAAAGACAGCCCAGGCAACTGGCAACCTAAGATACTCAGTGCATAATCTTACCAGGTGAATTCCATCAGTGGCAATATCAGTGATCCATATCCTCTCGATTTTGCCCTCCATTCCGGCATATGGTGTAAATGACTCAAATACAGCAGTTAACTCACGGCTTCGATTCTTCACCACATTACTAGCAACTTTCTTCATCCTTGCGGCAGGAGTTCCTGACATTGGTTTTACCTTATTAAAAAATGATCCCATGGATAGTACCAATTTAGATATAAACATACCTATTGTTCAAAACGTCATTTTAATGACTAATATCAATCCAAATTACACTTCGAAACTTATTTTAAATTATATCATCTTCTTCACTATCTTGTCAAAAGTGTTACTACGGTAATATCTATCCTTCGGAAATCCTTTTTCCAGGGGTTGATGAAATTAATTTTATCGATTTAACAAGAAAATAATTGTATCTTCCCTGTCACTCTTCAAGAAGAAACAATGATGGCTATTCAAAAAATGCCTCTGTTCAAAGCTAAAATGGATTTTTTATTCAAATATAAGACAATGCACCATTTGTCCAAAACATGTACTCCCCCATCCAAAATAGTTTTGTTAGGTACAGTTCTAAAATTATGAGAACTCTTAAAAGTTATTGAATCCTAATAGTATTTAAATTTCTTAGTCTTGATTGATATCCATAAAAAGGCCAAAAGAAAGAGCTTTGTTTTTCCCTCTAAGGTAGTTGATATATCCTTTATTCCTTTCCATCGGTTGTAGATACTGCATTGTGTCATCGCCTCGTTTAACTATATTTATCATAGTGTACTTGTGTGTAACTTGTGAAATATGAATTCTGACTTATGAAATATGACTCTCCTACTTTAAGAAAAAGAAGGCTTTTGAAAGATGATCCCATTTTTGGGACGGATGCCAGACAGTGTGTGTTATGTGATGGAAACATCAAGGCATTCAAGGTCTGAACTGTGAAAGAAATGGAATAAGTGTTTACGATAGCAAGGAATAAAACTTTAATTAAAAGCAACATACCAGGTCTAGGATAAAACTGTGATATATGAACTTGAGCAAACTGATAATCCTTAACAAGGTTAACAGTATGAGCAAAATCTTCATCAGTTTCACCTGGCAAGAATGTTTCAACGAAGTATTTCAATTCACAGGAACTCGAGAACTGAGTGAACATATAGGTACAAAAACAACTTACAAGGTTACCACCATATATTTTTCATGTGAGTTGAAACAAGTGATGCAGTTGTAACAATAGAATACAAGGTTTATAAGAACTTGAGAATTCTATATAGTTGAAATTGGATTTAGAACATCTCCAGAAAACATTGTTTGGTGCAGAAGCCACAAGTTAAGTTATATTTCATACATTTGTATCACAATCATTTAATTGCAAAAACAACCTTGATCTGCTTGGCTTACAAAATTAATTGAAAATATCTTTCACTTTCTACAGTCAGACTAGAAGTCAAAAAATTATTCATATAAATTTTATTAGTAAAATTGTTTGTAAAAAAAGAAGCAAATGCATAGATAAAGAATTTTATTATTTTGTAATTAAGTTGTCTGACCTCTTTACTTTTGCAAACATAATTTTGCATCACGGTTACTCTTTCATATAGTTTCAAAGACATTAAATAGACCAAGCATGGATGGACCCGTGCTTGGCAGTTGGCACCCCCCAGCCCTACTGAAAATTAAGTACAATAAGATTTGGCAACACTCACAGACCAGGAAATCCACATATTATATCCGTGGCAATCTGCATTCCAGGTACTAGTTCAGTCAACGTATCCACCACTTTCCTGAACTCTGCTACAGTGTATTCCCGATTCATTGCCTGGAAAACAAGTAAAACAAAATAGACAAATCCTAAATTGAAGTGAAATTGAAGAAGTATCTGGCAAACAACATAAGGGAAGGTGTATGGAGCATTAAAGAGGAAAGGAAATTTTCTGCTTTTGGTCCCTTGACTATTAGCCATTCCCATTTTATGTTCCAGGCTTTTATTTATTGCTTATGATGCACAACTATGGATTCCCTGCACCTTTTGGTCTTTCTGACTACTTGTCTTGTTGATTTAGCCAGACAAGTGACCAAAAATAACCAGATGTGGCAAAAGAATTTCATAGCCATGCACCATAAGTGGAAAATGTGAAAGTCGGTAACCAAAAAGGAACGAACAGGAAATCTTGTGACCAAAAATGGCAAATTTTCTTAAGAAAGAAGAATACTACTTGGATGGAAACGATTTACACAATCTCATTCTTACACTCAAGACGGCATCACTTCCGGACTGAATAGGTACATGAAGAAAAGAGTAAACACATGGATGACGCAGAACATCGGCTATGTCCTTCAAGTGTTCAAGAATATATGGAGGATTAGTCATCCCAATCCGGAGCATTGTACTCCCATCTGTAGGAAGCTCCTCAACAATAGCATTTAGCAAAATGGGAAGATTAACTCCAATATCACGACCTGCAAAATGGTTAGCAACAGTAAATAAAAATTGCATACCCATTTTTTCAGCGCTATTGGCTCATCATAGTCATTTTTTGGCAAGACCAACAAAGCTAGTGCTTGTTTTTTTTTTGTTGGGGGGGCAGCAAGGAGGAGAGGATTGATTTTTATTTTGCTATTTGATCTCTATTTTCTAGTCATAGAGAAGAAAATAACTACCCCCATCAATCCTAAAAAAAGTCCTGCTTGAGTAAAATATAATTTTTTACTTTTAGTCAACCTCAAAAATGGGCTTCTAATAACTCTTTTTTTGGGACAGGGCCATATATGTTTAGTTAAATTATGCATGTGAATATAACTTTTCATCTTTATTTTCTTTTCAAGTATCTAAATGTAAGAATATATTAAAAATATAATATCACCCATTCCCAATGAAATCCCCCAATCAAACATGGGCCTAAGTTCTCCGCAAGAAATGCCTCTTTAGTACAAATAATATCGCATGCAAAAGCACAATAAAGATAAGCAATTTATACCATATGCTCCGGTGTCTTCACTACTCAACCAGATCTCCTTCACTCCATCAGCAACAACATTTTTTACCCGTCCCACCTAAAATGATATACATGTACTTAGTGAAAATGCTAAAAGGTCCAAAGTGATAATTAAAATTATACACCTTTGAAGTAACAAAACTCACAAGGCTTTCAACAGTGTAGCTTCCTAAATGACCGCGGGCATGTTTTGTCTTGCAATAAGTGCACGCACCTAAGCATCCAACATTAATTGGAAGAATCTCAATGAACTCGTTCTTCCTCACCTATTTAGTAATAATGCAAGTTGAACATGAATAGTACATTAAGAATCATATTTTAAGTGTTTTGTATCTCCATTTTTAGTCATTAGAAATACCATATTAAGAGTCCTTTAGGTAGTTCTTATAAGTAATTTTTTACTTGGTTAAATGGTTTTCCTCTCAGAAGTTTCAATAGCCAAATATTACTTATCAAACAAGCACTAAAGTATTAAAACAGGGGGTAATTGAATTTCTCACCTTCGGAAGGTCAAGTGATGGCAGTGTTTTGCGTGTTAGAATCCGGACTTCGTGGCCTTTCAAAGTCTCTTCCACAACTTCTACCACACGGTGAATCTGTTGAACTCCAACTATACTAATTCCTTGTAACTCTTTCAAATTACGGCTTCCTTGAGGAACACATCCTGCAACAACTAGTGGTTTTTTTGCAATTTTCCCTCTAGTTAAAAGAGTGTCCATGGAAGACTGACTTGGGGATTTAACTGTGCAGCTGCATCACATCATCAGAATCAAATGCATTGAAATGTGATCCAAAAAATACCTCATAATAATCAAATATCTATAAGTGCACGTGTGGTAAGTGCTATTTGGCTGAAATTGCTGAATGTACTGAGTTTTCTAGAGATTAGTGCCTAGTTACATCCATTGAAACCACATAGAAAAGCTACTTATAATGTTGAGCAAGAATTGTCTACCAAAAGGAAAGTAATATTTCTAGTCTCAAGAATAACAACATTACTCCAGTGCCTCAAAGGTTCCTGCCTATTGCAGGGTATGGGGGTCAGATGTACTCAGTCTGACCCCTATGTTTAAAACATAGAGCAATTGTTTCTAGATGACCCATGATGAGCATCAAAAGTTGCATTGACTAACTGTTACTACACTATTAAGAAAAGTGTAGTTCATTTAAAGAGCCATTTTGCTTTACTCCATCATAGCCCAACGCCAAAAAATAGTGAATCTTTGGCTATACCGCAAATCTTAATAAAATGCAGAAAGCAGCAAGTGAATATTTGGAGCTATATCATTAAACTTTTGAAATTAGATAAACGCTAAAAACAAAAACACACAAAAATCATACGTGTTTATCAGCCACAAGTCTGCTTCATCCGGGACATCAGTCAAAGCATAACCAAATGCTGAAAGCTGACCGGCCATATACTCTGAGTCACTCTGATAGAGAAAGAATACCAAAATTTCATTAAATATAAACAAAAAAAACATACTTACAGTTCTTCAATAACATGAAATAAAATTCAACTACCATATTCCTTCAACAGATAGCGACTCATTTCCTTTCCCATTGTCATGGTACAAGGAACAGAATGTGCAGATCAAAAAATGGATAAAATTTCAATGACCAACTTCAAAAAAATTGCTTACTTTAGTCTCAAATACAGAATTTCTACCTGATTTATTCATCTAATATGGTTACTTTTTACCTGGTTATGCGAGCATCCAAATGTCTTTATATAAATTGTCTGCAACATAGACACACAGTTACACGTACAGGCGAATCAGTCAAATAGAAGAAGCAATTGCAATTGTAAGCCCAGAAATTGAAAACATAAAAGGAAAACCTGGGTGCCAGGGATTTTGGGGGTGGAACTCGGAAGACCGCTCCTCCTCCGCTGCTTGGGATTTACACCGACGACGTCCGGCGTCAGCGGAAGCCGGAAACCGGGCGGCGATCGTCCGCTGCTTCCCAAGAGCAAATCTTCTATGTCTTCCATTTTCGCTTCGCCGGAGATTCTGGGACGGAGGCTGAGGATTTCCCCTTCCCTTTGCTGAGCTTTTTCTCAGTATAGTTCGAAGTTATTGTCACTGGTACGGAGTTAACCATATTACCCTCGAAGTTTTCATAATTGAAATTTGAGACCAAATCAGTCTCCTCCCCGATTGTTACATTTCCTCAATTCGAAAAAAAATATCATTTTTTATACTCTTACCCTATGTTTGCTTTAAGGAATTTGAGAGGGAAAAGAAAAGAAAATGAGAAGAAAATATTCTTCTTATTTGGTTAGAGAGGGAAAGAAATTAAAAGTGGAAGGAAAAGAAAAAGAGAAGGCAAAATGTACTAAGAGGAAGGAAAACCAAATTCCTCCCATTTTGGTGAGAAAAATGAGGAAAACCATTTTCTTTTGTTTTCCTACTAAGTTCCTTGAACCAAACATAGTGTTAATATTCTTTCAAAAAAAAACATTTAAAATTTTAGATTTCAATTTTAAAATTTGAAATCTGATCAGAAAGAGTAGGTCTAATATTAATTGTAGGTGTAAAATTAAAAAATAAAATTTATATATTTAATAACTACATCAAAAGTTCTACAAAACAAGTGGTGACAAGACTATATTATTTTATCAAATACCTAATGAAAATAGGTAAAGAAAGTGATTAAAATTTGACCGGGTAAAAAGTAAACAGGAAGAACATTTTAGTACGGCTATTTTGGCACTGAGTATTAAAACAAATATTCAAACAAATATTCGTCATCACTGGACATTATAGACATTATTAAGTGTTATTTAGAGAATAAAACAGTTTAAGTATTATTTAGGGAAATGAATTAAGTTTTAGTGAAATATTTCCTAAAAAAGGTGAGGGGTAGATGGAGTCATGGAGTATTGCCGAAGAGGCGCGAGGATGAACATGTGGACGCCCAACAATCGTTCCCATGCATGCGTACACGTGTCCACGTACGTCGGCGGTTTCTTTCATTAAACTCCTCCCGCGAATTTACGCCGCTCTCTACTCGTCAGTAGGAATTAAGATTAAGAAAAAACTTCCTCCAATAATTAAACCATATATATCGTCACTCGATCTAGATACCCCTTCAATTAAATTAACTAAATATGATGAATATTTTGGCTTTGTCTTTAATCCTGTCCACCCTACTGGCGGCGGAGGTTTGGTCTCCGCCGCCGCCGGAGAACACCCAAGATGTGATCGTGAAAGAGGGTCACCGGGTTGTTGTGGTGGAGTACGACAAGGACCACGGGTGGAACACCAAGATCTCCATTTCTCCCCGCGTCGTTCCCGAGGAACGTACGGCGGCGGAGAAGACGGAGGAGGGCGGCGGGAGTGGCGATCCCGATCATCGTTGGACGGAGAAGACGGGGGCGGCGAATCCGAGAGAGCTGGTTTGTGATGCCTTCGGCAAGTGCAAACACAAGATCGCTAGCGCTTTGGGTATGGCCAAAGATGCCGCGGAGACGGTAGGGGATGTGGCGGGGAAGGCGAGAGAAACCGCCGCGGAGAAGGCGTATGGCGTGGAAGAGAAGGTGGAGGAGATGAAACGCGGGGCGGGGGAGATGGCGGGGGAGGCGGTTGACAAGGCGTATCGAGTGGAGGAAGGGGCGAGGAGCACCGTGGGAGAGGGGTTGGGAAAGGCTAGAGACAAGGCCTCGGAGATCGCCCGCGAGGCGGCTCACGCAGCTTATATGGTGGAGGAAGGGACTAGGTGCACCATCGGCGGTGCGGTGGATGTGGCTGGGGAGGCGGCCGGGAAGGCGTATAACATGGTGGGGGACGGTTTGGGAAAGGCTAAACACGGTGCGGTGGAGGTGGCGGGAGAAGCAGCTGAGAAGGCGCATGACATGAAGGAAAAGACGAGGCACGCCGTGAAGGACGGGTTTGGGAAGGCGAGAGACGCGGTGGCGGAGAAAGGCCACAAGGCAGCGAGTGCAGCCACAAATGCGCCAAAGAGGGCGTACGAGGCGGAGGAGGAAGCGGTTGCCTCCGTCAAAGGCCAACTATCAGCGGCAGCGGAGAGAGTGGAGGAGGCAAAGGAGACGGTGAAGGGCAAAATCGTCAAGGTAGTAGAGGAAGCGTTGGGGATGGCCAATTTGGCGGGGCTAGCGACGGCATACGGGATGGGGGTGTGGGTGACATTCGGGTCAAGCTACGTGTTGGCTCGGGCTCTCCCAAGGCAACAATTCGGGCTCGTACAAAGCAAAATTTACCCGACCTATTTCAAGGCCATGGCTTATAGCATCGGGATGGCTCTCGTAGGCCAATTCCTGATGAGTTGGCCAAGGGAGAACGAGTACGAGAAGTTGGTGGGCCTCGTCAACCTTCTTCTCCCACTTGTCTTCGTCTTGGTCAATTTGCTCTACTTGGAGCCTCGCGCCACTAAGGTAGGTGACGATAGTATCTATCTACGTTAGAATACAAACAAGTTTGAGTTTTTGATTAAATTTATTTTGTGACAATTGACATAGCATCAAACTCTTCTTGACTATAATAAGTTTTATGAATATATAGGTGATGTTTGAGAGAATGAAGTTGGAGAAGGAAGAAGGAAGGGGCAAAGATTGCACGACGCCCGTGGCGGACCCCACGGAGCTGGACCGAGCGAGGACCGAAGCGGGCCCTACCGAGGGCGTGACGACGACAACGGTGAAGACGAAGAACGAAATGATAAGATTGGGGAGAAGGCTGAAGAAGTTGAACTCATGTTCTTCATTCCTCAATGTTGCCACTCTCATGTCTCTCACTTTTTACCTTGCTACCCTTGCCCACCGTCTCCAGTCTACACCTCCATGTTGACGTTTTATATAGTGTTGGTTGTCGTTTTATATATGATGTAGGGGGTTATTTTCTTCCTCTTTTTTTTCTTCCCTAGAAAGACACTTTTATATACAGTTATATATATTCCCTCCCTCCCTTTGGTCAAATTTTGTAAATCTTGAGTCTTGACTCTGATTTGTGAAAAAATATACGTTGTATTATACGGAGTAATATAAATTTATTATCACCATATTTATGATGAAACGTAGTTTTCAAATATCAAATTTTTATAAAATATACGTACTATCTATCTATAAATATAGATATTATTGGTTAAAGTGCAACATTGGAGATATCGTAAAAAGTCCGAAAAACCTTGGCATTTTAACATCTTTTTTACAAATAAAAATAAATAATTGGTGAAGTGGAAATATTTTTCCCCTGTCAAAAAAATCCAAAACAAATAGACAAGTGAAATTACACCCTCATTTCAAAAATCCAAAACAATTCTCCGTTTAAAAAGTCAAAATATATATTTCTATTTTTTAACGTATTTTCATTTAATTACATTACTTGATTTATTGTTTATTGCATCATCAAGTCATTTGTCCTTTATATAACTTTTGAAATAGTTTATTTTTTTAAAGTGTGAAGCTCCGATCATATCTTAAAAACAAGTTCTCTAAAGTTTAAAGTCTTAACTTTAGTTTCTTCTATATCCTTTTGGGTTTTTTTAATTTCTTTCAATTTTTTCTAATTTCTTCTATTTTTTCTATTTTTTCCAACTAGTTTTATTTTCTTCAAACTTTTCCTAAAGTTTTTTCCCATTTTTTTGACTATTCTCATTTTTTCCTCCTTGTCTTATGTGGGCTCGATTGTGGACACTTATTTTAGTCTTTTATCGTCTTTCGATTGGGTTTCTTTTACTTTTGTTCGTGGTTTGCTTCATACTTTGGCACTTTTTTCCTCAGGGATGGAATGTTATTCCACCTAACTTTGAATTACCTCTTTTGATTGATTGATGTATGTGTTGTTTGTCTTTAAAATAATTACTCTAAAAAAGATGTACTTTTAATGTGGTTATTATTATTTTTATTAGCATAATAACAATAATAATAATTAGTATTATCTTCCTTATTATTATTATTACAACTATTATATTCATAACTATATATTATAAATTATTTTATTTTTTATTTTTCCCATGTCACTATTTCCACGATTCACACTCTTCTAAATTGATATGAGAAAATATTTTTCAAATTTTCATAAAAAAATTGAAAGTCAAAATATTGTAGAAAAAACACTAAACTATGATGAGTAAAACATGAAAATGTACCAAATATGAGTTCTTTATTTTTTGTTCCCAAAAAAAGAGTTACAATGAAAATATAATGTCAATCATGAAAGAAAAATAAAGTTGATCACAATTTGTGACAGTTCTGATATTCAAAATAAAATCTTGTAATATAAAAATCTAATTACAAATATATGTTTTTATAATAAATGTAACATAAATAAATTGAGGTGCAACGTATCCACAATAACTTTTTAAAATTTAACATTTTAATATTTATTCTAACTTTATATTCTAATTATTTTTTTGTGAAAGTAGATTTTTGTATATGAAAAATGATAATACTTTTTTATCTTAAAGACATTGATTAAGATAACCTGATTATGAATATAATAATAATAATAATAATAATAATAATAAATTATAACGACAACTAGAATGTGAATAATATAAAAAAAATAAACTAAAATAATTTTTTTTTTATTTTTTATATTTTCCAAATTTTTTAGTTTTTCCTGTTCCATCTAACTCTTTTCATTTTCTTCCAATTTTTTCAGTTTCTTTTAGCTTCTTGCACTTCTTTCAAGTCTCTTTAAGCTTGTTCCAACATTCAGCTCTTTTTCCAGTCCTAAAAAGACAGGCCCTAAGTATATTTGGGCAAAAAGTAAGACTTGAAATTGAGTTCTTGATTCTTGAATAAAAAGAAAAAGAAAAGATCATTTGCTTTATCTGTCTTCAAAGTTAAATTATTACTCCCTCCATCCTAAAATGATTGTCCAAGTTCGGTTTACGAGGTTTGGCCGAAACTACTTTTAAAAAATTATATTTTAAAACCACATCAAAAATTATACAAAATAAGAAGTGACAAGACTATATTATTTTATCAAATAGCTAACGAAAATATGTAAAGAAATTGATTACAGTTTGACCATGTCAATAGTGACTGGAAAGATCATTTTAGGACAGAATGAATATGCTTTTCAATCTAATATTTTGACCATCAATATCTTTATTTATTGATAAATATATATATTACTCCATACAAACATTACTCCATTTATTGATAAACTATATTTCAAAATAAATTTATTGATATTATATTTATATCATATATAATTAATTCGATGTATTTTTCCATAATTTATAGTTAAAGTTAGAAATTTGTCTTTAAAAGTAAAATTGAGAAGATTTAAAAGGGGTTTGAGGTTGTCTGAATTTAGTTACTTCGTAAATTAGTGTTTTTTTAAAAAGAAAAGTCTTTAAATAAGAATAAAAAGGTATAAAATACCAAAATATGAATCTTACGTCTTTTAAAACCAAAACATGCGGGAGGATAATGATACTGTGATATAATTCTACGAATTGACAACATAATGGAAAAATGATGACAATATAATTAATATTGCAATATGATCAGTTAACATTTGGTTATCGCCGATGATATTCTAGTGACCGATTACGATGAATTATAGTGTGGCAGTGAAAAGGAGAACTCCGTGGATACTAGTAAAAACTGTGTAAATACCAAAATATGAGTCCCTATTCTTTTAAGAGCAAATTATAAATTCACACTGTCGTTATTACATTGTTACACTTGCCACATTATTACATTGCAACTACCACACTACCATCTGCATCCACCGGCTACCGCAGATCGCCGAAGGCTGACTAATCACGTTGTCATGTTACACAATTATCACTTATCTATTACACTGTCAATACATAGTCTTACATCACATTAATGTTATACTCATCTAGTCTTAAAAACTTAATTATGAGTTACGATTCCTATTTTGGTACTTTTCATGTATTTTTTGTACCTTTACCCAATGAGATTTTACGATATGGTGAGCGCGACAACGTGAAATTTTATTTTGGTTTTAAAAGAGTTATGACTTCTATTTAATTTGGTGTTTACATAGTTCTTTACTCTTGTCTAGGAAATTCTTTCCCTTTTTTTCATGTTCGCCTGAGGAGGATATAAAGTGAACCCGAACCACACCTCAATAGAAAAATTGTAATCTAATGGGTGTATTTTCTAAATTTGAGTATTCTAATGGGTGTATCTTCCAAAATTGTCCTATCTTTACATGTTGAGTTCTATTTTGTTTTTTGTAGAGTTCTTGTACTTTAAAATTAGTGCCAAATTTAATAACGACTTTTATAAAAATTTAAATATTAAATTATAAATTTATATTAAATTTAAAAATATCACATAATTAGATATATGTACATCTAATAATATTGGGCTCTAAAAATTTGGAGGCCTTGTGTGGGTGCACATCTTCTCGACTGCCCATGGAGTCACATACAAAATACTCAAAAAATAAAAAAAATTATTGTTTGTGTATTTAAGTTTTTATTTTTTAATTATTTGTGATCATAATTTAGAACTGTTATTTATATACTACGTATTTGGTAAGTTTGTATACTCCACTTTGGGTCTGTTTGGGAATAGCTTTAGCGATTAGCGTTTTCAAAAGGCTATCTACGAGCAGTGTTTAGCGTTAGCGTTTTCAAATTAATCTACACCGTTAAAATTTTATCCAAAACGCTGACGCTAATCGCTAATGCTATTCCCAAACAGGCCCTTTATAGATATTTTGTTTGTGTCTCTACTATTTTTTTTCATTTTTTACCTTCCTTTTTTTCTTCTTTTGTTTTTAGGTAAGATATGGTAATCTTTACGACACCCTTCATTTATAGACGCATTCGACTGACCCTAATCAGCAATGAAAATCTTATATTTCTGGCCTTTTCCTTTTCTAATCCAAAAGAATATTCCATATAAACATTTCTATAATACGGAGTTTTTAAATTTTAAAATATAAAACACTTCAAAAAATATTGAAGCTCTGAAAACCCAACCCAAGTTTCCGACCCCAGCTGTGGGCAGAACAGCAAGAAACCCAATGGGTTCAGATTGCTGGGAATATGGAAGCTGATGTTTCGATTCCCTTATCATCAGCATCAGCAAAGCTATAATCTTTTCCCATAATTTTAATCTTTTTTTGTATTTTGAAGAAAAAAAGAGAGGATTTTTAGGGTTTTGAAATCTGGAGCTATGCTCAACCTTTCTGCTGTGTTATTTCCCGTCTTTCTTTTGGGCTTTCTCTCCCTGACGGCTCATACGACGCTTGCTAATATCGTCTTGATTGGTAGAAACACTCTTCTGGCTTTCGAAGACATCGAGGCTAACTTTGGTCAGTATTTCTCTCCTTTGTTTTTTTGTGATTATCAGCTTTGATTTTATAGATTTGGGATGTGTTAGTGTTGATTTGTGTTCAAATCTGGGTTTTTTGTGATCTTGGCGATCAAGAGTTTTATGGGTATGATTTTGGTGGGTAATTGAAGCAGAAATCTCGTGTTATGATATCTTTCTTATTCTTCTTTTTGGCTGAAATTTTATTCAAGAACTCATATTTTGTCTATTTGGACTTTGGACCTGTTTTATTTCTAATGGGAGCTAGAAATGGTGTCTCTGGAGCATTGTATTTCTGTGTGTTGTGGCAAGCACAAACTAAAACACGAGTTTTAAGATCAGTTTTATTTAAATTGTCAAGGTTTGGGCTACTTGTCTATCTTTTGAACTGATACCATACTTGGATAAATGGATAATAATAATGACTCTGATTCAAAATTTTGCTTGAAGTAATGGAAATTTAGGTTAGTAAATTGCTAATTTTAGTAATTCTTCTTTCTGCCCATATATTCATATATTTGCACTTTCAGCTCCTTCCGCAACGGGATCAGGGCAATGCGGGACATTGTATGTTGCTGAGCCATTGGATGCATGCTCACTGTTAAGCAATAAACTCGGCCCATTGGTTCAAAACAGCACTAAACCCCCATTTGTGTTGATAATAAGGGGGGGATGTAGCTTTGAGGATAAAGTTAAAAGAGCACAAGTTGCAGGATTCAAAGCAGCCATAGTCTATGACAGCCAGCCCGGGGACTTAGTAGCAAGTAATGAACTTTTCCCAGTGGCTAGCTATTCATTTAATATGTATTTTTTCATGACTGTATTGCTTTACTGCTTCATCTCCACTGCCTTTGGAGCTATAGAATCAATTATTGACAATATCATAGCTTCGAGTTGGTAATGGATTAAATCAAAATGTCATTTTATATAGTTTTGTGGAGTAAATGCAGCAATCCATCAAGGGTATAATAGGAATAACATCACTTTTTTTACTGGGGTAAGATTGTGTACATCTTGACCACCCAAATCCCAACAGAGTTGGGACTATACTAAGTTTTGTTGCTGTATTACTGCTCTCTCTGGAAAAAAGTCCAATTTGTGATAGTGATTGCAAAACTGACCTTTTTTTGGCCGGAGGCGGTATAGTGTTGATATATCATTGGGTGAATAGCATTTAAATCTCCTGAGGTTTAGTCAATTTTCCAAATCATCCTTGAGGTTTCTAAAATTACAAACAATCCCTTTTGCAAGTATTTTTTTGCAAAGGACATCGAAATATCATAACCAATTCTGATTTTTCTTTTACTAAGGAAAACCATATGTGCCGAAAGGGCATTTTGCAGAAAAAATGACTGGTCATGTGGCTTATTTGTAATTTTCTCGAAACCATAAGGGCATATTGGTAATTTAACCAAAACCATCCCTTTCAAATCATGCACTTGCATTCCACATTGATTACCCAAGTATATGATTAACTCATACAATTGAAAATTCAGTGGCAGGAGGCTCTAGCGGCGTAAAGATACCCGCAGTGTTTGTGTCAAAAGAATCCGGTCAAGCGTTGACCAAGTATGCGGGTGATGCTGACGTGGAAGTATGGATCATCCCAACCATTGAGAACTCGGCTTGGTCAATCATGGCCATATCATTCATATCATTGCTTGCCATGTCAGCAGTGCTAGCCACCTGTTTCTTTGTCAGGCGACATCGCGTCAGAAGAGAGAGGCCCTCCTCTCGGACCACTACTACGACTACACGTGTTAGGGAGTTTCATGGTATGAGTAGGCGGCTCGTTAAAGCTATGCCGAGTTTGATATTTACCACAGTTGTTGAGGATAACTGCACTTCGGTTACGTGTGCTATTTGTCTTGAAGATTATAGAGTTGGGGACAAGCTCAGGGTTCTACCGTGCCGCCATAGTAAGTCATCTTTCTCTTCAATTAGTACTCCCTCCGTCCCATGACTGAAGTTATTTTCAAATGGATTTATGAAAATTGGGGTATAATCACAAAATAGAATTTATATATTTAAAAACTACATCAAAAGTTTTACAAAACAAGAGGTGACAGGATTTTATTATTTTATCAAATAGGTTACAAAAATAAGTAAAGAAAGTGATTAAAGTTTGACCGTGTGAATAGTAAACCGTAAACCGACAACTTAAATTGAGACAGAGGGAGTAGAACTTAAATTGCACATTTTCCAGATGTTATATTTGAATTACCTCCTTATTGCCCTCTTTTTGCATATGATGCAAAAGATAATTGATTGTTGAATTATCCCTACATGTCTTTGACAATTGGTGTCATATTTGGTGTTTTTTCTTGGCATACCTATCAGAAGACTAATGTTTGAGATTTTGACAGAGTTTCATGCCAAGTGTGTTGATGCTTGGCTGACATCATGGAGAACTTTCTGCCCGGTTTGCAAGCGCGATGCTAGAACCAGCACCGGGGACCCACCGCCATCAGAATCCACTCCGTTGCTCTCGTCGAGCGCTTCTCTCTCTTCATTCTCATCCCTTAGATCGTCGCTCGCGTCATCACCGTCGGCCTCCATACAAATAGGCGCTTCGACGTCCTGGGCCCCGTCACGTCCCCTATCATTTCAGTCATCCGTCCGCTCGCCCAACCTCATCGCGAGTGGCCTAAGGGACCCACAGTCTTCCCAACGGTCCCGTTCTTCGCATCTGGTCTCGCCCCACTCCCTATCCGTAGGGTACCCTTCCATATCGCCTCTTAATAGCTCTAGTAGATACATGTCTCCGTACATTCCGAGTCCGGGCAATTCGTCCACCCGGCATCCGAACCCGCTCCGTCATAGCGAGTCGTACACGAGCTTTTCACCGTATGCCTCGGCCCAATCGCTGCCGGGTTGCGACTAGGGGGACAAGAAGAGTGTCTTTTTTTGAGGACTTCTGTAATTTGTACATTACAACATATTAATATTGTGTTGTTGCTGCTTTGCTTTGTGTGTTTTCAAATTTGAGCTCAGTGGTTGGGAATGATATTTAGATGATTCTGAGTTGTGTGTGTGTGTGTGTTTGTACATATGGCTGATGTATTATGAGTATATTTATGCTTCTCATTCAATATTTTGTGAGATGTAACAACTATATATGGCTGGTATATTAGATGTTTGTCAATTGTGAGTACTCTAAATAAGGATGACAACGGGTTGGGTTTGGGTTAGAATTTGCGGTACTCGAACCCGACTCGAGTTAAAATTGTGCTATTTTTTCATCTCTAGTAAAGAAACAAGTCGGGTTTGGGATTTTAAGGTCGGAACAAGCTAGTTAAAAACTTATTTTCCTCACCTTATTCTTTCTACTTTCTCTTTTAAATGATCTTCTTAGCTTGGTTAAGAGGTATGATTGAAATCATTTTTAATTTAATTTATTTGATTATAGATTTAAAATTGAAAAATAAAAAATACTCTCTCCGTTCACAATTAAACTTTACATTGCGTGTTACGATGTTTGACTGAAGTTATTTTCAAATTATTTTATATGAAATATGGTGTAGAATTGAAAAAAAAATATTACATAATTAAAAAATTATATCAAAAGATCTACAAAACTAGAGGTGAAATGACTATATTATTTTATCAAATAGGTGACGAAAATAGGCCAACAAAGTGAATAAAGTTTGACCTTATGAATAATGAGTAAAGTTTATTTGTGGACGGAAGGAGTATATATTATGAAATCACATCAAAAGTTTTAAACAAAATAAGATGTGACATAACTATATTATTTTATCAACTAACTAAAGAAAATAAGTAAAAAATTGATTAAAACTTAATCATGTGAATACTGATTGAGAATACCATTTTAGGACGGAGGTATTACTTAATCTTATTAGAATCAGATCAGATACAACTTTTATATCAAAACTTAATCGAATCAACTCTAGTACCGAGTACTACTTTTTGTGCAATATATACCGTGCAACAAGTTGTACAATGTTTTTCGTACATCCGCGGTGAGTGCTCATTTACAAGCAATTGATTACTCATTTTCAAACAAGTGAATATTTATTTTCGAGTAACTGAGTACTCATTTATTTAAAATTCAGTTATGTTCGAAAATGAGTATTCAATTATTCAAAAATGAATATTTTGTTAATCGAAAATGAATATTCATTTACTCGATAATGAATATTCATATGAATGTACGAAAAATACCGTACATCTGAATGTATGACACATGTACGATCGATCATCGAAGAAGGTACGTGATGACAGTGCAATTTTTTTGTCCCTCCTGCATTGATTGAAGAGCAACAAGCCGCGTGACCTCAGCCCGTGCCATCGCCAACTTTGATCCCGACATGAATTCTGAGAATATCGAGGTTGAGGTAGAGTTCGAGAAAGAAGAGGAAGATGAAGAAGATGCTCTTAAGAATAACATCTAAGTCATCTATGTATAGACAATATCTATACATAGATGTGTCGTTTGTGGATGTCTATGAGACATACTGGTGTCACACCAATGATGTTAAACCCTGGTATTAAAATACTCTTTACCATTTTCTGCTAAACTATCATCATCTTCAGTCCGACTGGAACCGGCCAGCTTGGCAAACCATTCATTCCCATTAACAGACTGCCTCAACCTCTCAGCGTCATCCCACCTTCCCACAGAAGCATAAACATTAGCAAGAAGGGAGCGGTAACCGCCGCCATTCTCCACACCCAAACAGTGCCTTGCTGCCTCCTCGCCAATCTCCAAATTACAATGCAGGCTGCAACCATGAAGCAAAGCACCCCACACCCCAACATGGGCCTCCATTGTCATCCCCTTTATCAAACCATAAGCTTCTTCTAACCTCCCTGCCCGGCCCAAGAGACCAACAACTATACCGTAATGATCTACGGTTGGAGACAGCCCGTACCTCTCCTCCATGCATCTAAAGAAACGGTAACCTTCTTCTACCAATCCCATGTGCGAATAAGCAGTCAAGATTGCAGTAATTGTTGCTAAATTAGGTTTGATTTTGGAGCTAATCATTTCGTTGAACAGATTAATTGCATCATTAGCCTTACCGTTAACTCCGAATCCCAATATCATTGCAGTATAGGCCGTGACGTCTTTATTTCGTAGACCCAGAAACAACGCGTAAGCTTTTTCTGTAATGCCGCACTTCGCGTAAAGATCAAGAAAAGCGGTTGCGAGATGATCGTCCATCTGGATTCCTTGTTCCTTCATGTATGATTCAATCCAAGAACCGGATTTTAGATCTCCCAATTGAGAACAAGCTGAAATGGCAGAAGCTAATGTCATGTAATCCGGTTGAAGCTTTGATTGAAGCATTTCGTCGAACAGCTTGAGAGCTTCTTCTGGTCGGCCATTTTGAGCATATGTAGATATCATTGCATTATAAACGCTGTGTTCTTTTTCATCAGTCATTTCTTGAAACAACTTCCTAGCAGATTCCACATCCCCAGATTTCGAGTACCCGGAAATCATGGCCGTGAACGTGACTTGATTCTTTCTTTTGTTCATAGAATCAAAGAAGCTACGAGCTAAATCTATCTTTCCACACTGTATGTATCCACTTATCATTGCATTCCATGAAGCACAACTTCTCTCGGGCATTTTCACAAACAGTTCGTATGCACTCTCCATATTCCCAACCCCTGCATACCCAGAAACCATCGAGTTCCAAGAAACCACGTCTCTTTCTGGAATCTCATCAAACACAACCCTTGCCGTTTCCATGTCTCCCGATTTCACGTATCCAGACAGAATCGAGTTCCAAGAAACCACATTTCTCACAGGCATACCGTCGAACACCTTTCGTGCACAACCCATTCTCCCCATCTTCGAATAAAAATCAACAAGAGAAGTTTGGACATAAACATCCCCACAAAACCCATTCTTCCAACTCTGCGCATGGAGACAACTCCCCGCGACCACGTCCCGAATCCTCGAACACGATTTCACGGCGGAAGAGATTGCAAAGGTGCTCGGGCTGCCGATTCCGAGACTCTGAAACCGAACATAGAGAGAAATCGCCTCTCCGAACCGAGAATTCTCAGTGAGAATCCGAATCGCGGATCCAAAACAAAAGGTGTCCGATTTGTGCATATACTGAACCATGGATTTGGCGTACTGGAGAGTGCTTCCGCCGTGAGATTTTGCAGAAAGAAGGAGGCGGAGGAGCAGGGGAGGCTCGAGATCGCGGAGGCCGTTGGTGAGTATGACGCCATGGATTTGCTTTGCTTGGTTGATGATTAGATGTTTGTCTAACAAAGCTCTGAGCTTTGGTTTCAGCATATAAAGAGACAGATTATAATATGAAACCTTTCTTCTTCGTCCAAACGGATCGCAAGTTTCTGAAACCTGCAGAATTGAGCAGGCTTGAGTGAGCTAAGAAGCCATAAATTTATACTTTTTTTAAAAAATAAATGAGTCCCATCTCTAAGGACTACTTCAAACCCAGATCAAACGGTCATTGAGAGAGATGAATTGAACATTGATCATGATGGTAAATAGTGGAACTTGTATTTAATACTTATATCAAAATAGGACTTCCATGTTTTTATTCTCGAAATAGGACTTACATTAACAAAAAAATATAATTATTTGCACATGTACACTGCCACATTACCACAATGCAAATTCACATTAACATAGTACAAAGTCTTACTCTAGGAAAAAAATATGGAAATCCTATTTTGGTACTTTTTTCTATGTTTTAGTCCTATTTCTAATTAAAAAACTACACCAATTTTGAGTGTTACAGAGTATATTAGAGTTCGTAGCTTGTACAATATAATAATACAATATTTATAGCTTGAAGCATCAAAACCAGCAGATGAATGTATTATGTTGAGGAGGTTTGGAGGTATTGTGGAAGATATAATAGGAACCTCATTTGGGTCAAACAAAATATTGTAGAATGCTCAATTGGATCAGTGTCATAATATGACATTGAACTCAAATGTCACAATAATTGTCCCCAAAACTTGGATGAAAAATTATCTTTGACTAATCTTGAAAAATTGGGGTGTGTGAATGAGGTAGGTACTTGACACAACTCAAAAGGATTGAGAAAATTGAATATTATTCCCAAGCTGTATATTTTGGCGAGCATAAAAATGGAAAATAAAAAATGAATACAACAATGAGTTTTTCTTTTTTTTTTCCCACCTTTTTTGTTACATATTCATTGCTCTATGAGATTCAAAATCCATGAAATCGGCATTAACTTGTTGCCCAAAAGATGAATTGTAACCATAAACATCAATGACCGTATCATCCGCCATTTGTCCGTTTTCTCTTCCCTTGAAGCTCTCTGTAGGAAGAGGAGGAGAAATCCAAGGGCTCTGAGGGGTCGGTAATAGTAGTATGTTGGAGCTACTAGAAGCTTCTTGGTTTGCGATTTGCGGCGGGTTCTGATTTTGGGGTGAGTTTCCAGACGGCGGTCTCTTGGTAGCCGCCGCCACGGCTGCCGCCAGTGTGAGAGAGGCCGCCTCTGCCTGCTGTTGCTGCTGCTGATGCTGTTGTTGAAGTTGCAGTTGATTCTTCATGGGCGACTTCGGCCTGAGGGCTTCAATTTCTGGGGTTGTCACGACGAGATGCGGCGTGTCTGGTGGTGGGTTCCTTCCTCCTCCGCCCTGCCAGACTTTTCCGTCCTTGTCGGCGAAATTTCTCACGTATACCTGAATGTTTTTCAAATGAAATAGTCAGAGATCGATTCAACAACAAACTTGGTAAAATCCCACAATAGTAGGGTCTGGATAGGGTCTGTATACAGACCTTATCATCCATGTGCTTGAAAGTTGAGGAAAAAAGTTTCAAAGATCAACGGCGTTGTAAGAATGGAAGAAAAAAAACAAGATGTACAGCAGGAAAGCATTGGATAGGGCTAAATTTGTTGAACATGGAGTGGAAGTGTTTTGTTAGGATCAAGGAAAATGCTAGAAAACGAGACAAAATGCTGAAGAAATCTTTTACTTGTGTTTGGTTTTACAAATGTGATTAAAACATGTATAAATTGATACATAAAATTAGTTTGAATAAATGTAAACATTGATGTTGATTTTCCTCACAAATTTCATTTATATTTTCCCCTGTTTCATTCCCTATCTTTTTTCAAGTAACATGAGGAGTGCTTGGTCCACACCATTTTTTGTGGATCTTCTCACATAAAAAGTATTTTTTTTTTTTTGCAAAATATAAATGCTCATCAGGGTAGTAAGCATTTGCTTACCACCCTTATATCAATCAAGGTCAACCTAAATTGGCGTGGACCTTAGGTTCACCATAACATTTACCTTACATTGGGACCCGATTTCTAGAAGGAAAAACCGGGAAAATTTGGGGAAAAAATGTGTGGGGAAATAAAAAATTTATTCAAAGTCAATTAAGTTATATTGACATTTGTTCAAACTTCGTTGATAGCCACGCTTCAAGCAAAATATAATATTTTTTATTTGAACAAACTAATTAAACAATTGTCAACATGTAAGTTGTTGTATTGTTACCTCGGAATTGAAATTTGATGAAGATAACCCTTTGCCCACAGTTAACCAACCGGTTCGAATGTTATGGTCTTCACCAAAGAGCTCGAGCCTTCTCCGCCCAAGAGCAAAATGTTCAACTATTCTGTACATATCTTCAGGCTTTGCAGTAGATCCTGAATTCAATTTGCAAGAATACCAAACTTCATTGGTGAATAAGCACGATACATCACATATGTTCGAAACATAATTTTTATTGCAAACATAATGTGAATTTTGTAACTAAATAATGTGAATTTGATTGATATTTTCCAGCAGCAGAGATCCTTTCAGGATATGTCAATGCCAGGAAAATATGATACAATACATATTTAGCCAAACACTGCCCAATAATGGGAATGTCTAAAAAATAGTCTGTCTTTATGAATGACTTTTTCTCCTCTGTTTATTCCTTGGTGTTTTAACAAAACATAATGCAAATAGAACGAAAAAATATTGTATTTACCAATTCGTTATTCGAAAACATAGTCTAAAAGTAACCAAACTCAGTGAAATAACCCACCATAAGGAGGCTCCTCGGCAATAATTACATCAGTGTCAATGTTGGCATGAATTATATGGCCATCTGTACTTCGACGGACAGTTCCCTTAATTCCCATCAAGCAGTGTTCCTATATCAAAATGGATATCTAGCTCTCTTCAGAAAGTTACACATGTAGGTGCATATTTTTATCTACATGATACTTGGAGCTCTGTTTGTTTACTAGGAAAAAGTAATGATCATCCTTACCAGGAAAATAGTTTCTTGTGTTTGGCACCGGAAACTATCTTTCTCAAGGAAAATTGTTTTCCTGATTCATTTTGATTTTCATGGAAAACAACTTCCACTTAACCAAAACAATTTTATTTTCTCTAATCTCTATTTGTGTATTATACATAGAACAACTTGTTTTCTCTAAACATTTTTCAAGAAAACATATTCCTTAAACATCATTTTCTACATGTTATTTTTCTGGAAACAAATAGCCTTAGAATAAAACAGATTGAGAGTCGAATCTTCGCAATAACTTAGAGCTAGTAGAAATGCAGAAAAGGGCACCTTCGAGCGCTGAAGGAGAGTATGTGAATCATGGCGTAATCCCGGGGTGGCATTTGTTTTATTTGTTTTCACCCAACATATATCTTCACACCGGCGAAATCCCCACTGCATGAAAACAGATAGGAATAGATGAGTACCAAATCTTCCATCCACCCATAATGTAAGATTAAAATTGCTTTGTCCCGGTTTTACAGAAAAGAAACAAGGTTCTTAGTTACCATCAAAAAGATGAAAGGTATAGAGCCAACAAAAAAAATAAAATGTGGAGGACGAGGTGCAATGAAATGGAAAGCATGAAAAGAATCAATCTCACACAACAGAAGAGGTAGCAATTCAACAATAAATAACCTTTTACTTGTTCTAATTAGATATACCTTCTTCAAACATTGGCGGCCCTGCTCAAGCCCAACACCATCACCAACCCAGAGGAAAATAAATGATGGGGTATCAGCCACTGCCTGTCAGATTAAAACAATAAACACATCAACCACCAATAAAATGAAAGATTAATGGAAAAATAGTGTGGATAACCAGCAGTAAAATATGAATGGAGGCACTCGATTGCTCAGTGCTCATAAAATTGCAAGGCCATATCAAGGAGCACTGAAGGAAAAACTATAGTACAGAGTCGATATCCAAATTGGTCCATGGAATATACATTATTACTCAATTTGGTCCTGAATTTATTTTACTCATTGTGGTCCTAAATTTTCTAACTCAATTGGGTCCTAGACTATGCAATTTAATATTGATTTAATTCCCATACATGTGTTCTATTCATGCATTGAGCACTAAATTGGGTCCAAATTACATAATAATGAGTCCACTTGAGTCCGAAATTAGATCTAAATTCAGTGAGCAGAGAATTATACCCTTCTTATTTAGAGCCATATAGAATTTCATCAACACACACACACACAAATACAAGTGTACTAAATTAGGTCCAAGTTTAATAGTTACGGACCAACACAAATCCAATAAAAAATAACGACTAAATTGAGTTATAGGATATATATGAGTGACAAAATCGAGTATTAGCTCTATAAAAACTCTATACTTCCTCCATCCCCAAAAATTTAACTTTCTTTCTATGTCTATCCTTAAAAAAATCACTCAATTTTCTTTGAACAAAGAAATTCAAGGTTCATATTCTCTCTCTTCTAGATAAATCGAAACCACACATTTACTATATTTCTTAATGTTCATGCCAGAACAAAACCTGGCAAAGTTTTGTAGGACAAGGAGTAAAAAAATTAAGATCATAGTGCATGACATTACAAATTATTTTACCTCAATTTTGAGATTCATAATTTCTTCAAACGTCCAGTGCTCCATGTGATCAGTGACACCAGGAGCTCGGTGAACATATTCCTCCCATGGTGGATCTATAAGAATGACATCAAACTTTGTACCAAAGAACTCTGGAGAGAGTTCTTGCTCCCGCAAGTCACATTTGTAATACATGGGAGTAGAAGCAACTTTGGCCACTATCTCATCCTTCTTTTGTAAGAGCTCTCTCAACTTAGGGTAGTCCTCAACAACACTGGTTAGCTCCAGTTCCCTGATGAAATTTTGTGGCCTCATTCCAGTGTCCACAAAGTTTTGGGAGTAATCATTTTGTTCTCCTCTTGAAGGAGCTTTGCCAGGTGGTGCGTTAGTTCTAGGAGGAGGAGGAGGAGGGACCCACCCTCCAGAAGATGATTTATCCGGTGTTTGTCCACGTCCACCTGACATTACATTGTTAAAATTTGGAGGAGCTCCTCTTCCAGGTCCTGCCGGGTGATTGAAGTAAACCCCAGGATTAGGAGGGTTTCCTATATTGTGTGGAAACCTAATTCCTGAAGGCCCAGGTACTCCAGGCCATACAATGGAAGGTGAAAATGGTGGAATATATACATTTGGGGAAATGGGAGGAACCGGGGAGGGTGACATGTTAGTGTTTAAAGGCGGGGCCATCCCGAGCTGTCCGAAAGGCGACCCTACCATTGGCATTTGAAGAGGTACTTGGGTATGATTGTCTCTCCCAGCTGCAGGC